ATAATTTATTTGCTTGGTTTTATTACGATGACCACACTGTTAACTCAGTCAACCCATATTTAATAATATAGGCTATTACCCATAGAGCTTAGTTTTTACTTTTTTTTACTGCTACAGTAACTTTATATAGCTTATGCCTATTTTGGCAACACCTTTGTATCTTTAATAATCTAATATATGGTGTCTTGCATCTGAATCCATACAGCACCTTGTCAGATTCTTTAAAATCTGGAAACAGTTGAGGTGCTTTTCCAGTTCTCTGCCAGATGTTCAGGTGAATTCATTTACTTCTTTTTTTTTTCCCCTCTGACTTGTTGTTTAGATACTGGTTTTTAAGTTAAGGAAATTGCTGACTGGAAAAATATACCTTATGACTGCTCTGAGGACTCAAAATTGGATAGTTTCCTATGAAATGTATTTTATATCAAAGAGAAATACTGTGCCCAAACTCAATATCAGTCTAGTATCAAAGCATACACAAGGAAGAGCTACTGAAAATAATTTGATTTATGTCATTCCACAGTGGTTACAAAGTATGTTTCTTGATAATAATTTTTTTATGAGTATGGTCTCTGAATATCATGCTAAATTTCAGACAAGTAGAATATAGTAATGGGAAAGCAATGCTGCAAATGGGAGCAGGTCTTTTAAAGGAATTATGATGTAGAAAGGCCAACATATCACAAAGGCACCTAAGGCAAGAGGCTGTCTTTCCTAAACACTTAAAAACTCCTTGTAAATGCTAGCATTAATTATAAGGAATGGACTGCTACCAGAATAAAATTGCCTGTGGAAAAACTTCACTTTAAATCTTTCGGTTTTCCCTTAAAACATTTTTAGTAAGGGACACACATGCATGAGCTACAAGAATGCCAAGAGTCTGTAGCTCTCAATATCCTGAGGACCATTTCCTCTTTAGGATGAGATTTTCCATTCAAATTTAAAACTTTTAGAATCCAGTTGAATTTGTTTGTGCTGTTTTGGTGCCTCAGATATTTTGAAAAATTCCACACACAGACAAAAACAGCTCTGAAATGGACACAAAAAATGAAACTTCAGAAGTACTTATAAAACTGTACTATTCAAATTATGATTCAGAGTTTAAAGCACCCTTTCATTTGCCTTTTTGGAAAGTTGATCAGCTTCCAAGAAGTCTTTTAGAAGCAAGGAGTCCTAGGAGCCCTCCCAGAAAATCCTCAGAGCTGGTTTAGAGCTGATAAGCCCTCTTTCCACGGCTGCAGGTCATACAGCAGATTTTCAAATATCTGGGCAGATGACATGGAAGATATCTGAGAGGGTTTGAAATTTGCAGCATTGCTATCATATTTATGTGCAAATGGGTGGATGTCTGTGGATAGCTTTCATTTTAAAACACTGGCATTTTTCAGCAGGAAAATACTCCTTAGAAGAATCTGCACTATGTTCAGGATTTCTAATCAATGCCAGTACAATCCAGTTAATAGGACTAAAAGTGAAATGGAGTCATGACAGGATTATTGACATTCTGTTTGGAAAACACTCACAGAATGTCTAAATCCTGACTAGTGAATTGCTGACACAAACTCTAAGCTTTTCCAGGGAAAATATGAGATGCCAGTGCTGGCCTATGTCATTGTAAAGCTACATCTCCTATGATGATTGTGTCTCTATTGCTCTTTCTCCCCTCTCAAAGGTGCAGCAGCTTTCTGAGATGCTGCCACTAGCATGCTCAGAAATGTTAGTTCTTATGTGATGTGGCAATATGTTGCCCAAATAAAAAAATTTAAAATGAGATGAGTTATGTGGATTTTGAAGCTCCTGAAACACAGTCATTGACTCAAAATTTGATGTTGCTGTCATTGGTTTTAATAATACCTGTACCCAAATTGTGTTTCATCTCTGAACTCCTGGAGCATCTTGCAGAGCAAAATAAATACCATCATTTTTATTTCACCAAGTGAGAGGGAAACTTAGGCAAGAGTGGAGAACTGACATATTCATCTCCACACATAAGATTAACAGAATCCAAAACTGAACCTCCAGTCAGGCTCCATCCATCCACAATAACAGGGATTGCCTAAATGTTCAGGTTATCTCTCTCTTGTGAATAATGAGTAATACTATTGAAAATTCTCACACATCTTAGATAAAAAATATGTTCACAAATATTTATTCATATTTTTAAACAGCATTGTGAATATGTGGGCCCTCTCACTGTGTATTAATATCCAAGCACATGATCTTGTTGGCAGGCATGTTGCTGTAGCAGACAGTTGGATGTTTAATTTTGTGAAATTTCTGCGTGAAGTATATATTTGACGTGCAATGAGTAGTTTGACTTTATAAGTACATTTTTCCAGTCAAAGAATAGCCCAGTCCCTTTGCCCTTCACCCCACCAGACTGCCTGCACTCAAAAGAAATTGAAATAACAGGTATACACAGGGCAGTATTCACAATAAAATTGCATTCCAGGAAGTGACTGTAGGCACTATTTGGCAAAGTTTATTAAATAGTTTATGTTATGAGTATTCATATTCTTGGTACATTTTAAAGAGATAACTAGGGAAAAACACTCTCCTGAAGCCTAATCAGGAAAGCGTTTTCTATAAATGTGTCCTTTTGTCGAGTAAATAATTTGATGTTGCTGCATGTTTGAGATTTGCTCAGTCAGCCCGAGCAGTGCAACCAGTCCACACTAATTCCATTTGTAGGCTGTGTGCAGCTTTTCTTTGCTGCATTCGACTTTGCCCCTGTGGTGCAAAGCTGTAACCTGTGGGTAACATTTGGGGCACCATGATCAGGTTCCTTCCTTTCATGCTGTGCAGTGAAGGATCTCTTTGTGGGCAGAGACAGGGCAGTGGTGAGGAGGTGAGGGGTGGATACCACCTTGGTCTTTCCCCAGCTGTGTGACCTGCCTTCAGACCTGCACATCAGGTACCTGTGCTTCAGGTGTGTGCAGCCTCTTCTCTGCACCTTGTCAGTACCACAGACGAGCTCTGTCTACACCATTACTTTTTCCTACTAGTATCAGTAAGTCCTAATGGAGAAGAAATTAGAGAATCACAATAAATTAGATGATTCCCCCTCTTAGCAAAAGTGCTATAAACCTGTAGTTTTCTCTGGTTTGTTTAGGACTGCTTTTGTCAAGTCATAGCATACTGTTGCTTAACCCAGTGCCTTTAGCTGTTGGTTTCATTATCATAAGCTTATTCATATGCTTCTATCTTTCTCTTTTTATGTATAATGACTTATTAGTGTAATTTAATATATCATTGTTATTGCTTTTTCCAGTACAGAATAATAATAAAAATCCAGTATAAATATAAAGTTAATCACACTGTAACTTCTCTTACACTTCTGTACCTCTCCAGGTAAGTTCTCAACAGTGGCCTGGGGTTTGAAAAATGACACTTCTAAAAAATGCTGTGCATAGTTATTGATAATACTTTTATGGCCAAATGGTTTCATCAGAGGTTCAGCATATGCAGATACTTTAGGATATCATAGAGTAAAATATGTCTTTTTCAGAAGCATGAGATAAAGCCTATTATAACAGCTTTAGTGAATTAAACAGTGGAAACAATCTAAGGATGAGTGCTTGATGTTTAGCTCAGTTGATTCCAATTAAAGCCTTCACAGTAATTTAAAAAATCTAAAGTAGAAATGTTTTGTTGCTGTTTGCTTTTTTTTTCCTGAGTGTTTTCAGTAGGCAGCATCACCTAGATTAAATACTTATGTAGAAAATTATTTTTTGGCATTTTTATTGTTAAAATTGGAAAATATTCCCAAAAGATACATGTATATGCACATATACAAGAAAATTGTACAGAAGTCTTTATCTCTTTATTTAAGCATCTGAATGACATCACAGACTGCTCATGCTTTTCTCCCATATTTATTGTGTGGTCAGTAGATGCTTCTCATATTCATTTTAGTTTGCTGATCTGTGTTGTACCTTTTATCTCTCATATATATTTCTCCCAGCACATAGATGTATATTAATGTCATGTTTGTTTATATGATTGTGAAGATTATTGTTTTACTTTGGAAAGAGGTAGTGCACATGTGCTATGAGTAAACTGTGATAATCTATGTAAATTATGTGCACAGAGCCATACTCTGCCCTTGGGGGAAATGCAAATTAGAACATTTTGTAGTTTGTTTGTTTTTAAATACATACACTTTTCACTTCAAGGCTTAGGACAGACTCCCTGTTTATTTTCCCATTGCTCATCATTTCTTATTCCTTGTAAATATCTTAGTCTGTAATGATTAGTTTGCTACTTTGTCAGAAAAAAAATACTTGATGAGTGAGGTCCTCAGAACACAATGTTTAGTGGATTTTATAGCTCTGCTGTAAGGGAATTATCTGCTTGTAAAAGGATGTATAACACTCTCACGACTCAAAGCCATTATAGTGATCTGACAGTCTTCATTCATTTTCTCCCAGTGCTGTCTCGTTTTCTTTTTTTATATTAACGTTTGTAATATTTTTTAATCCTGCATTACTAAAACATAGTTAACTGATTTTCCTTATAGGAAGCAAGAAAAACATATTCATAAAATGTGGTGTTTACTAGACTTGCAGTTCTCTGCAGATGTAATTTTTTTTAATAATAAAATTATTTTTATACTTTTTAAGTACCCTTTCAGAGAAATGTTTTAATGTAAGTTGTCCGATTCTATTTTAAGTGAAGGAGAAAACCTGGTAGAGGTTGTCTCTTTAAATCAGATCTGCAGCGTTGATGGACCCTCTAGCAGGCACGGTAAGAACCATTCTCACCTCTGCAGCAGGGAGCTTGACCATATAGACTCTCACATTCAATCAAAACCTTTTCCGTTTTAATATGCACTGTACCAATCCTATTCCCATGGTTACAGCTCGTGCTTCTTTGGTTGCTTCCAGTCTGTTGGAAAAGAAAGGCAGCATACATTTCTTGTACAGGAGTTTAAAACATCATGAAAGCAACCCTGTTGTGATTTGCATTTTAAATGTTTCTTTTTTTTTCTCATTGTACAGAATGCTGTAGCAGTAGCTTCAGTTCATTTGCCACAGTCTGTCTTCTCTCCGTCTTCAGCCTGGCAATCTGTTGATAACTCCACTTGCAAGCTGCAGTTTATTGTCTTTCGGAATGGAAAACTCTTTCCTAGCACAGGAAACTCATCAAATCTTGCAGACGATGGGAAACGTAGGACGGTTGCCACACCAGCTGTTTTTGCTAAAATAGGTGAGAAGCTGTTATGCATTATTTTCTTTAATCTAAAAGCTGCGGTGTACTTGATTATGTAGAGAATAGAGGGGTAGAGTATACAGTGGGCTGAGAGGCTGCAAACAGTCTCTGTCTTTAGTACGATGTTTGCAATTGTTCCTATCTGCACGATTTCATTCAGATTGTCCTGCAAATAAAGGAATGCACTTGTGCTATGGTTAAAATGCAATTTCTGGACTGCTGTTTGTTGACAGTGTTGTTCGAGATGCTTGCTGCTTAAAGCAGGATGCTATCGGAAGGAGCCTTATTTTACTCTTTACAATGAAAATTGCAGTGTTAGTATCCCAGGCACTGATAGCAATAAGGCTTTTGGAGTGGGAGTAGTGCCCTGTTGCATTTATCAATACTCAGCAGTATACTTTCTGATACGATGGATGTAAAACAGGTGTTGTTACAGACTTTTGTCTAAATAAGATATATTGTATGTGCTACTGAGTAATTATTTTGATTAATTATTCACCCAGGCAATTTCTCTGATTTTACTTAATCCTGAGTAGTGCTCTCATTTCTATTAACATTTTAACTGTTTAAATGTGACTTTGAAAGTGCAGAATTGTCTCAGCTATTAATCATACCATGAAACTGAGCTGTTTCTGTAGCTACATGGGCAATAGTGTAACACTGGTCATAACTGAAGAATCTGAAATGATAAGAAAGATCTGCTTTGTGATGGATGATTAGATCATTTGGACACATTATGGAACTGAAATGTTCAGATTTATTTATACTATTTCAAACTTTTCTGATATGAGCACTACCTTTGATTTTGACCATGAAGATTATATGTCTATGGCTTTTTTCCCTGTAGTTTAGTGTATCTGATCTCTTTACACAGCATTCATCACTAAAGGGTTTTCCAGTCCATCTCTCTGATTCAGTTTGTTGCTTTTACAGATGGGTGCAGTTTTGGAAACCTCACCAGCCCTCTCACTATAGGATTGAGGCACTTTGCACGGGGTATAGACCCCATTGCAGCCTTCTGGGATTTTGACCTTCTAGATGGACATGGAGGCTGGTGGGGAGAAGGGTGCCACATAATTAGCTCTGCAGGCAATATTACCACCATTCAGAGTACGCACTTCAGTAACTTTGCAGTGCTAATGGTAAGTATATGACTTAGCAAATATACCTATATTTTTCTCTCTCTCTATTTTGCTGTACATATATGTTCTTTTTATGTTCCGTTCTTACTTGTCAGTAGCTAACCTTCTGGGGTTTCATAATGGTTAGTATAAGACAGTCTAAAACAAAGTAAGTTATTTAACTGCTAGTAAGGGAATACCTCGGTGGTCAGTTTTAATATCCTGAGACAGGCCTAATCAGAAATGACATTAGATTCAGTCGTAAAAATAAAAGTTCCATCAAGGAATGATTAGTATGTAATGGTTATGAATTATAGGACAGGGTTTAAAAATGTATACTCCTGTGTGCTTTTACATCAGCACATCTCAGAGGCTGGTCTGCTTTTGTTCCTGCCCTGCACTGTGTTGATCATACTAATTAGTTGCAGGCATACCGCAATGTTGAATCATTTAATAAATGGAGAGGAGTAACATCTTCTGCTCTTTTAAGTAAGGACAGTGCTGTCCTTCTTGATTCTGTAGGAGTTTTAGTTTGTACACCAATTCTGATAGCCTACTTATGAAATTGCTGTTTGTGAGGAAAAATATTCCTGTGCAGTGCTAACACATCAGCCTTCTTTTCTCTGTTCTCAGTCACACTTACAGTTCCCATTGCAGTTATTTAACTAACCTGCTTAGCAGAAAGTTACCTTCATGAAAGCAAAAATATTATGCATGCACTAATAACCTGTTATTATTCAGGAAATAAGAGAAAGCAAACAAAAAATTGAAAGGTTTCTAACAACATATAGATGAGAAAATGTTTGCACTAAAAATATTTATTATGAACCAGTTGTAAAAAGATTAGACAGATGTGTACTATTTATACTAGATTGATTCTGAATGCTGATGCATGATTGCACTGTAGATGCTGCTTGTGTACATTACAGAAATGTTTATAGTTGAGTAAATAATGTATTGTGTGTATGTGTAAGGGACAGCAAACACAGGCGACAGGAATTGTGAGGACGTGTGCAGAGAATACCAATCTGCTGCTGTCAGATGGAGCCCAGATGGCAGCCAATCATAGCACAAAGCTGTGGCACCCACGAGTTAAATGCAGATATTATCGTCCACTTTGTAAGAACTGATTTCCCTGAGACTTACTTGGACGTTTTTTCACACACTCCAGAACTGTTCAGAATTTAAGAGCTGTTCCTCCAATTTGACGACATCAAATATGCCTCATTTTCTACAGCTTCTATGAGTTCCCTTTTTTCCCCCATCCACTTGTTTCCCAGAATGTGAAACATAATTGTGCTTTGAGGATGCTTTTCTAAATTCATTAAAGAAAGCACCTGTTGACTTTGCAGGTGCCACACCCAAAATGGCTTCCTCCTCCTTCAAGTGCTTGAGTTCAGCTTGTTCTTAAACTTTGAGTAGTTACTAATGTGAAACTACTGTTTGCAAGCATCCAATTCTATAGTGTCTTTTGGTTTGAAAAATTGAATACTGCCACAAGGGCTACAAGTAATTTTTAGTTTGTAAAGCTCATTTATCTCTGAGAAGATGTAGGAGATGGGTTTTTCTACAACCGTAAAGGCAACTGGGGCACTTTTTACTGCAGCTTTTGTATCTGGTACGTAATTCAGGTTTAGGTCTTGTGTTTATTTTGATATAATAATTCAACTTTGCTTTTTTTTCATGTACGCATCTTCCATTTTTACTTGTGCAAGACAAGAAAGTAGAATCTTAGACTCGCCCTTGCTTTGCAATTGCTATGGCAGCAAACAGTGTGATATGTTTCTTAGCTCATGTTTCACAGTCACTTTTAAGAAAAACGATGACTTAGGTAATTTTAAAATATATATATAAAAATGCACGCACATGCAAATATATTTTCCAGGAGTTGTCTTTCTGAACAGTTATTGGAAAACTTTTGTAGCTGCATTATGTGCAACCATTTTCATTCAAGTGTTATTTCTTAATCCCTGTTTTGTGGCATAAAGTCAAGGATTGTTTTATTTGAGAGATACTAGGCTTTTCTGGGCAGATCAATTCTCATACCAGAAATGAAAAATATTTCATTGTTGTGCATAGCTGTTAACTTATAATATGAACAGTATAAAGTGCCTGTGTGTATCTTCTTAATTCCTGCCTAAGTGCCTAATATATTTTTAAAATACTAACAAAACGTTAGCAAATTCAAAATAGCTAGTATCTGGTATGTATCCAATGAAATTAGCTACAATATCATGATAAATGTATCTATTAAACAATAAAAATTCATAATTGATTATTATGGTTTGGGGTAATAGCAGAGAACTGAAGTAGTGTCTGTTAACTGAAAAGCAGCAATAAGGCTTTACATTACCATCAGAATATCCTGCAGTGGAGTAAGATGAAACAGAAGCCTCAGTTAATCCAACTGTCCATTTTTTAGCTAGTACAGCACATTTTCTGATTTGTCATTTTTTAAATAGTAAGACAAAATTTCCTAAACTGCTTTTATAAAAGTTGTTTATGCCTATGTACCACACAGGGGTTAAAATTAAGGTTTTGTAGAGTCCTTTTTTAGAAAGGCATCAATCAAGGATTTATCAACGATTGATAATTAATAAGCATGAGCATACTTCAACTGAGAGGATTCACAGAGCCATTTGATTTCTCTCTGTGACATTTGTTCAAGTGATGTCAGTGAGAGAAAGAGTATAGTTTGGAGGTTGGGTTGGAAAGTTGGGTTGGGTTGGGTTGGTACAAGCTCCTTCCATCATGTGGCCTCACACTTTCACTTTGCTCTGGGTTGGGCAAGCAAATAGAAGTAAAATAATAGTCAGACGTAATACAGCATTATCTTTTTCTGAGCAGCTTTTGGGTAGTATGTCCTAGGGGTGAGAGTAAACTACTGTGAACTAACTCTCCAGTTATATTCCTGCCTTTCTCTTCATATACAGCGTGTTTAGACTAGTCCCCTATTTTTTTTTCTTCTGTTATCTATAGGAGGAAGAGACATAGTTACACTCTAGTTTCTTTCAGAGATGGCCAAAGCCCTCTAGGGTCCTGAACTCTGCAGTATGATTTTCTATTTTAGAGTAAAATTATGAACTTATATACTTTGAAGCTTTGGTATATCTAATACAAATATTTGTTTTATAAATACTATATATTTTTGCTCTTGTGTGAACAGAGCTGTATATCGATATTTTAATTTTTCAGGACAATGTGTTTATGTTATGACTGATCTAGAGACCTGCATATCTGAGTAAAAACTCTTCAGGAGATAATAAAAATATCCAACAGCAACATTGAATTTCAAAATTTGCTAAATATGTTTTGGCTTATATTGTCCTCTGTTCTTCCTTTCATTTTTCTTAGAACAGAACAGAAATTCAATAGGGATGGATATTAGTGTAATTATATACAGCATTTCCTTTTCCCTCTTAGACTGCTTTGTCAATAGTAACTTCCTCAAATCTGCCAAATAAACACAAGTAAAATTCTGAAATCTAAGTATGATACTTTCCAATTAACATAAAATGGATTAATAAATATTTTTAGCACTTTTAATTGTAATCCTAAAAATAGGTTAAATTAACATAAAATCGTAAACAACTCCTTTCCTGTTTTGTCACAATGTGTCTCATTATTCCAACCAACATAGGTGTGGGTTTTGTTGGATTTTTGGTGTTGGTTTGTGAGTGTAAGGAATAATTATTTGCAAAAGTAGAATACATTCAGCGGATGCTTATGTGAGATAATTCAGCCTGAGAAGACTGGGCTGACAGAGTATATTTGAAACTGTTCTGGAGGCAAAACTTGGGAAACTGCGTGAATGAAAAATTGAAGAGAGGCAAGATACTAGAATGGATCACAGTAAGAGTTACAGGATTTTTCTCCTCTTGTTTTGCAAGCATTCCCTGAATCTTTTAAGCCTTGGTAGGATCACAGTACCACAAAAACTACTTTTTCAATATTTTCAGTGTGACTAGAGACAACTGCAGTATTTCTTAAGCCTATTCACAAAGTTCAGTTTTGAAAACAGTCTTCTAAAGTTCCATGTTTCAGATCTTCTTTAAATTAATCAGCCTGTCTAAGTCTTTTGAGAAATTAATTCATGAGTCTGGGAAGTATTACAGAGATGTCATTTAGAAGGTTGACATAATTACAATATTTGACATTTTCCCCGTAGAAGACACAGGGTTTTCTCATAACAGGCTGTGGAAACATGGTTCTGTACTTTGAAAAATCAACCTGCTTATAATGAGAGGTATAAGAATGAACCTTTCAATTTTTTTTTGTTTAAACACCTACAGAATAGACCTTAGCAGAATTTAAGCACCAAAGACTATGAAAATGATCCAGAAAGTTACATGCAAAATTAACATTTGGAGTAGTGGGAACTGCCAGATTTACTGGAATTAGATTCCTCTACAGAGTGAAGAGCTGGATTTCTAAGCTCTGCTGTTGTTCGGTGGCCTAGCAATAAGGCACATACTCCTCACCTGAGTCCTCAACTGGCATGTACTGCTCATGTAATGCTCATTCTCATAAGAGAATGCTTAGTCCATATGGACAGTATTGATTCCAGCTTCCCAGAAAAGGTTGCTTTTTTTAAGAATATTCCTGAATGTGTCAAACTTTTGCACAAATCCTTGGAATTACTGTTATGAGCAATATCTGACTTTTATTCCTTTCTCCTTGGGTTACATCTACATTTTATTAAATTGCACTTAATAATATGTATTATTTGCTCTGTAAAATGCATAAATCAGTTTGGTACTGGGGTCAAAAATCCAGGCTTGAGTCCTTCAAAATGTGATGATTTTATCACAAATCAAGCCTTTGGCTCCAGCTCTTTCTTTCTGTTTGTTTTTCCTCTCTATTGGCCTAATGGATCTTGTATTCCTCATGGTGCAGCTTCAGCCAGAGGGTAAAGGGATTCAGACTATAAAGCTCAGTAAAATGTGCCAACTCTTGGGAGATGTAAATTAAAGACCTGGAATCTCGGTCTTGAGACATCTTGTCTGGGTGGCTTCTACTGAGCTCCTTCCAATTCATCAATGTCTTTCTTGTGCTGAAGTGCCCAAAACTGGACACAGCAGTTGAGATTTGGGCTCACAAGTGGTGAACAGAAGGGAATAATCACTTCCCTCAGTCTGCTGCATGCACTCTTGATAATATGTCCACAAGTGCTCACCTCTGCCTTGGTTTGTTTTGGGGGTTTTTTTTGAGTAGTCAGAATCTAAATACAAATAGAAATTTAAATCTGACCAGAACTGATTGTTCAAATCAGTTGTGTTTCTAAGTCTCTGTGGTGCTTGGATATTACTCCTAGAGTTTTAGGTGTCCTGCTTCAAACACAGAAACCAGTTAGACTATACTTTCTAATATCATACTATTACAGGCAATATATTAAAAAGAAATGTTTAATTTTCCAATATAAATAGATGGATTGCAACAATTTATATCACAAACTGGATTCCTTTTAGCAGCTGTGATTTGCTTGAAAGTACCAAATACATAGTATTGGTTTGCTGTTTCTTTCTCTCAACTTTCTCAACATCTGCCATGAGATGTCTCAGGGCTGCCTTTAGTATGTAATCTGTCTATACCTCTTTGTACATGTTGAATTTTAACTGAACAGAATAGATGTCTCTGTTTCAGCCGATCTTTGGAATGAAGCATCAGTTTAAAGTGAAACAGTTCCATTTGCACTCTGATATTTTTATAATTGTGATTGTTGGATGAAGTAGCTGATAAGAATTCTTTTGTGTCACTAATTTCCTTTACTGATTTCTCTTGTGCTTTATATACTGTGATGGCATTTACAGCTGAAAGAAGCCAGTTTCACACCTTCTTATAAGGGTGAATGAATGACAAATTCTCATTAGACAATATTTGTAGTTGTAGACACCAGTTCATAATGGTCAAAGTCTTGTATGTATTCATTTTCCTCTAGCTAATTCCTGCCATTTTTCAGTATCATCATCATTTGAATCCCCACTAGGAAATAAAATCAAACCCAACTTTTTAAAATGCAATATACCATTATGCTGCTTTGCGTATTGCATTAAAAAAATGCTTGTTTTCTGCATGTTGTCTTCCCCAGAAGATTACTTGAGGGAGGTTGACAGATCAATAAGGTTTAATTATCATCAAAGAGCAGACAAGATAAATTTATTATATATCTATAATGAAATCAGTTTTCAATGTACAAAACTCTTAAAAAGGATATTCCACATTGGCACTAATCCATTATCACATTCAAAAGTTTTACCACTTATTTACTGTAAAAGACTAGACTAGAGATAATTTTTTAAATCAAATTTTAAAATGGAATTAGCTTTAAGATACTGATTGTTCTTCATTCTTCTGCAGGCAAAATGGTTGTATTCCTGTAGGACAGATGGCATTTGCTTTTATACTGATGTTCAAACATAGTGATAGGTTGAACCTTGCATTTAAACTATTAAAAACTGGTTCTTTAGTATGCTGAAGGATGCTATTCAAGTAAAATTGCTTTCATTTGTTGCTACATAAATGTGTAGCTTCACTGGGCTTCCTTTTTCACAACTTTACTTTTCAGTGTGTTTTTTTCAGAAATATCTAATATATTTAGTTCTTTATAATAGCTGCACTGTTACTACCGTATAGTTACAGTAACAGATTTCTGAATGCACAGAAATGCAGTGTGTACCTAAAATTATGGCAAAGTGTACTATTGGTATACTAAAATACAGTTGTAGGAATATGAGCTAGAAGTAGATGTTTTATTATTTTCAGCAGAGTATTTCTGCATTATCACTCCAGTAATATGAGCCAAAATTGTATTGAACATTTCTGGTAAATACTAGTCTATCTCAAGAAACTCATTCTATAAAAGAATTAATGAGGAGAGGATGCAAATAAAAACATAGGAGAAAAGATGATCAAAAAAGGTTCTTAAGTGGACATTCAGTGACCACTCTGAACCAGTAGACTTTTAAAGAATTATTTGAAATCTGTAAATTTAGTATATCCTGAAAAAAAATAAAATCAAGAGGAAGCCTTAAGAGAGTAGATCTGTCACATTAAAAAGCTAATACATCAAAAGATGTAGTTCTTTTCCTCTTCTATTCCATTTGTGGTTGAGGGAAGAGTAACAACACAGACATCTCTAGATGAGACAGCATAAGCTGAGTACCTCTGTGAGAAGGGACTCCACTTTTCACTTTGGGTCTTGGTGAACTGGGTGGGCTGAGAGAGGACTTACATGAGAGACAGGTGATGACAGAGTAGATTCAGCTGAAGCTGAGGAAGTACCTGGAGAGAAATGGGACATAGTAACATATAGATGTCATCCTGTTAATAAATTATTTGTTCATTTTGATGATCCTTTATATGTTGTAAGCTGCTCTGTTTAGAACTGACATTCATATGCATCTGGAGAAACTGGTACAATCAATCTAAGGAACTTTAAAGCTAGTAATGAAGAAAAATAATAACTACTAAGGCATCTGTTACTTGTGAGGATCATTTTGGAAGGTAAATGGAATGGTTCCTTTCCCCAGATTTAATAACTGCATACACTCATGAACATTAGTTGCTTGTGCATGGACAAGTTCATATACATAAATAATGGTGCTAGAAATCAACTCTCTGCATGCAAATGCAATTAGGAAGAGGTATTAGTATTACAGTCCTAGTTTCCTGAGGAGAGGTTTCACCTCTGGAAAATAATGTGTTGAATCTTCTGGGGGAACCCAAAATTGACAAATAAGAAAAAAGTCTTTTAAATGTATGCCAGTATTTTCAGTGTTAGAGTTTTCTGGATTGTCACAGTCAGTACTTTTTCAGATTTTAGCTTTTTCTGGTGCTGGGATGTATATTTATTTTTGTGTGCAGAGTTAGTACCACTGCACATGGGGACTGGCATGTATATGACACTTTGTTTGCACTCAGGTGATAGTTTATGTGTATAATTTTTAGTATTCGTTTGTAGGAATGTAGTGCCACAAACAGGTGTGGCTTGATGTATTACAGTGAGCCCCTGATGTTTGCTTTCATTCAGGTAATCTTAAGACATCCTGTTTTATGTAATGTGTTCCCTTTGCTTTCAATCCATCACACTTCCAGACTTAGCTCTTCTGTTATTTCTTATTTGTGTGATCTAGTAATTTAGAATGGGAATTTGATAACGTTAATTTTACAAAGATATTGATAGTTTTTTGTTATGTTTTATCATTATTTGTATCAGTAGGCACTAACATGTCCAAAAGGAATGCATGGATCTTTATTCTGCTGTTAATATGGCTGTACCAACTGTTTTTGAATTGCTATAGGGAGTAGAGTATTTGCAACTAAGTGTGAAGGTCACTGGGTCAGAGGAGGTGTATCAGCTGGGAATTTATTTGAATACAGGAACAAGTCAGTTTATATTTTGAGCGTATTCTCAGGGCTTTTTTTTCTTTGAATGCTTCTTCTGCAGCCACGTATATGCCATTTAGAGACCTCAATGGTAATTTGATATTTTGTACTTTATATCCTAGTAAAATACACACATAAAGTTCATGTTATCGGAAGGAACACACATTGCTAATGCCAGGAAAATGTAATATTCTGTGTGTTTTTTCAGACCTTTTTTTTTTAATTAGGATATGTCTGCTTGTACAAAAAGGTTAATTTCTGTCTGGCAAAGTGTATGCAGATGAGGAAAGAGCAGACTGATGTTATTGTAAATTCATGAACTGTATCTACATTAAAAGTTCATCTTTTTTTTTCCTGCCCTTGAAAGGGAACAGCTAGAAATGACAGGACATATTGAAATGAAGTCTCAGTTTCACACATGCCTGACAATGTTAAATCATTTTGCTTTCTCCATAGGATTTTAAGACAGTGCTGTCTTTCCCCCAGTACCCAGGGGAGTTTCTGCACCCTGTGGTTTATGCGTGTACTGCAGTTATGTTGTTGTGCCTGTTTGCTTCCATTATCACCTACATTGTCCATCACAGGTAAGAATTCTGTTTTAAACACTTGTGTTAAATGGTCAGCAATATTCTGAGTACTTCGATTTTTTAACCCCTGCTGTAAATATAAATTAAAATGTTCTGAATTACTGTTGGATAGTAATGGTAGCAATGTGGTTTACACCAGAGAAATCAAAGCAAAGGTTATGTCAACCTTTCCTAAGCTTTTCCCAAGCTGTATCCTTCTGCACACTTTTCCTAAGATTTCTAACTTGACATTTCAATATAAAACCATGATCACTATGAAGTTGCTTTCTGACAACTTCCAGTTGATCAGACTTTGGCCAACTACACTGGCTTCAAAGACCAGGTTTGGTTGGAAAACTGGTAACTCTCATTGGATAAAAGAAATTCTCTTTGTCTTTTAAATTTTAGTTTTAGAAAGCTTGTGTTTTCCTTTCTGTGAAAAATTTATATAAATGCCATTTTAACTACATACCTCTTGTTAAAGACCATTAGCAATTTAAAAGAGTAGGAATGTATTGTGCTGTAGAAGCTGCTAAATATTAATTAAGTGAACTTAATGCAATATCTTCTGATCTTCATCTTCCATTTAATACTTTAGAGAGGTCTTGTTAAAGTTCTGCATATCTGAAGCTATGCAATAAGCCTTTTGCTTTTAGTACTCTACTTTAAATGCTTGATTTGGTGGAGGAAACTTTAAATCAGCAGACTTTTACAGTTTTTACCATTAACCTTACCTTTTTACCATTTATTTCAAGGCTGTATAAGTCAGGCTGTGTCCTGTAGGTAGACTGCTATGTAGATATTCAAGAATCAGAGAATTTAATTCTATCAAATTAAATATTTTTTCCAAATAGTAATTTTCATGATAGATATGTTGGTTTTTTAATTTTAAAATGTGATTTTTTTCAACAGCACAATCCGAATAAGTAGAAAAGGATGGCATATGCTTCTCAACTTTTGCTTCCATACTGCTCTTACATTTGCTGTTTTTGCTGGTGGAATCAATCGCATTAAATATCCAATTATATGTCAAGCTGTAAGTATCTGTCTTAGTAATTCTTACTTAGAGAATTGAAACTTGCAACTGAATTTTCACCATAATATTGATAGTTCTCCTTCTTTTTGTATATTGTTCCTGGATCTTAAGCTTTTCAAAATAAATCATTGTAAGTATATCATTTAAAGGCCAGCACTGGGAGTGTTCAGTGTTTGGTTGTCACCTGAGTTTCTGTAAGAGGGTGACCAATGCATTAATGTCTCTGAAGCTCAGAATTCCTTGGTGATGGGTTGTTTTTTTTAAAAAGCCATGAAAATTTTATTATTTCTCTGCTGTGTAGAATAGCTGAAAAATATGAATTCAAAATATGTCAGTCCTTCTTGTGTTTTGGATTGGATGTGTGGGACTAAGGTTAATGCTTCACTATAATACGCATACCATTTCCCCAAGGGAGGCCCTGGCTTCACTGGGTGATCTCTAAATATACACTTGGGCAGCTTAATGTTTATAGTATGGATGTCTTTTATTTACAACTTGAGCTAAGGAAACAAAGCAGACCAGTATACTTGTGATATATGGGCCCCTGTTTGCACTGCTGGACTGTTTCACATCTCCTGCTTCAGCCATTTTGGGGCAATAGTGTTGTGAGATGCACAGAGAGGACTGGCTTTAGCTGCCCTGAATATAGAGTTTGAGTCTGTACAATGTGTAAAGAAAGTAATTTTAGTTATCTTCCGTAATGCCTGATGAGGGATCGTTCCAATTTGTTTATCTTAAATATTTCTTCTCTTGGATTTTATAGAAGTGCTCCAGGTCTCATGAATGTGGTTGGTATTTGCTGTAATAAAGCATTTCTTTTAGCCAACATTCTCCCAGGTATTTTTCCTGTCACTAATCTGGTTCTTTGGAATGGGTGTAAATAGCCAGTGTCACCAGATAACAGCAGAATCACTGCAAAATTTGCATAATTATGGTAAGAGTTATCAGTCTAGTTTTCAGTGCAATGCTTTGCAAGCCTTTTGTGTATACTTGTGTATGACCATCAGTAAACATCACATGTAGATCTGTAAGCACTGTAACATTTATAAGTGTGAAGTCTACCTATGTGTATTACATGCTATTCATTTAATAACACAGTTATCCACTAGATTATTTTAAGATAAATATCTCACAATACCTAATGTGTTGTGTCATAATTAATCTGTAAGTTCTAGTAAATTGAAATATCACTTACCATTGTCTTTATCTGCAGTTTGCAAGTGAGGGTAGCAGATTAGTTTGTAGGGCAGCCATGGCCATGTAATTACATGATCACAAATGACCATCTGTTGCTGCTGTTGTCTGATTATTTACTTTGCAGATTGCATGGTAACAATCTGGTATTAACAGCTATAATGAAAAATTGATTGAGATAAATGTGTTATTAATAGTCTGTTACAAGTAATACATAAACTACAGGGGTATCTTCATAAAATACCTTATCAGTGACATCTGTCTCTTGCTATGGTATAGCGCCAGATCCTGAGCTGCTGAGAAACATGCACACTTACAGAAACTGAATTGATTCATTCCTATATGTCTTCTAACCAGTTTCCTAAAGTTAATTATTTACCTGACAACATGCTACATTAACAGACAATATCATCAGTAGTTAAAAGACAAAAAATATACAGGTCACACAAGATGCAGGCTGTCCTTTGTTTCCTGGTAGAAGTTGTCTGTCTGATGTAATTAGATAGGGCTAATGGATGAAATAGTTCAAACAGTCACAGAATCACATAACATGCTGGGTTGGAAGGGACCCACAAAGATCATCTAAGACAAGACTCCTCTAGCTGGTAACAGAGGTTGAACAAATATTCACTCCCAGAACACTGTACCCCACCACAGATCCTTTCTTGCTTTCTGACAGCAAGTTTTTCACAATTCTGTGAGTCCCAGTGTGTCGCTGCTGAAGTCGGAACGGCCAAAGCGACACAGATATCAGACGCAGTCCAGGTGTAAGGTGATCAGGAAGCTGTTTATTGCTCTCAAGTGTTTCTTTTATACTCTTTGTATGCTATCGTGCCACAACACAATTGGTCAAAAGTCTCAAGCATAAAACACAGTACGTATTTCCATTGGAGACACAGAAGACACTGTGCTTACTGTCACTGGTGACCTGAGGACACTGTGCACACTGTCATTGGTGATATTATGCACATTTTGATTGGTGACCTTTGGTCTGGGCTGCATTATGTTTGTTCCATCCGGCATTACAGTAAATATTTCCTTAGAGTTGCTTACATTCCTCATCACTAAATGCCAGGCTGCTGACAGGTTCTCTGTCAACCCCGACACCAGTGCCTGTGTCCTTCTGTGATAACCCTGAGACAATTGTTCCGTGAATTAATGTTCAGGGTGCCAAAGCTAGGAGTAAGGGAGTCAGGAGTCAGGGAGAGACACTAATAGTTTCCTGAGGCGCTTATGTATTTGAACATTCCCCACAGCTTGCATAAGTGTTTATGGGGTGGACAGCACTCCTCCTCTCCTATGTATGGAATACAACAATTCTTTAAATCATTCAGCCAATGAAATGTATATTATGTAGCCGGCTTGGGCTTCTGTGTCCCTTAAGTCTAAGATTTGTCTCTTTCTCCCTTTTTTTTTTTAACTCAGTTCTGGAAAATAACCTGATATTGGGGTTTAAAATATATTTGTGAAAATGTTACTGCTTCAAGCAGCGCTAAAATATTAGTTATACTGCAGGTGTAACACTTTCAGTGTTGCCATACTACTACACCTTTCAATTTGCTAAAATTCAAATAACAGCTTTACCCTGCAGCAATGTAATTTCCACCTTTTGTTTCCTGAGTGCATACAGAAAGATTCCAAGTGCGAGTAATTTTTTGTCCTAATCACTGAAATGTTGTATCAAAACCAGTGAACCACCACCTTTCTTATTGTAATTATCCCTAAAACTTTCACACAAATTTCACTGCTGCATCCTTACCCAAGTGAAATAATAGACTGAGTTAACTTTTATCCTTCAAAATTAACCAAAAAGGATGGTTCTAAAATAGCTTCATTTGGATTGCCTTCTGCCTCTATATGAATAGTTCCAGGCTAGTTTTAAGCATCAGAAATTAATGCTATGGAAATGGACCCATTTTCTCTGATAGCTGAAAGAACCTTCAAATCCCCTTGAAGGTGAAATAATCAAACGAAAAAAAATGTCTTTTCAGAGGTGGTCAGATATTTATTTTTATATGGAATCTAAAAATCTAAAATTCCCTTTTAAACCTACATATATATTTCATGAGATTTTGTATAGATGTTTCACTTGCATATGTGCTATGCAGTCTATGATTTATAAGGAAAACTGATGCTAGAGTACTGGTCTAGAAGAGTTCATTGCACCTTCATACCTCTCCTGTGTGAATGAATCTACAAACTGTTTAGATTACCCGTGAATCTGATTCTGGGTGTCACTGAATCTTGACTGGTGTTGTAGAATCCAGTGTCTTGAATTTATGGCAAAGTCTTTCATGCAAATCAAAAGTTGTCTTAGGAGCAGCTAGATGGGATTAATCAGAGCCAGTACACTACCAGAAAGGTGTTTGAGCCAGCTAGTGGATGACATAGTCATCCCCTTCCATCTTCCACAGTTAGGATCTCATATTGCTTTCTTTCAAATGGCAGAAGGAAGATTACTCCTTTTATGTAAGGAATGGGAGAGAAAGGAGAATGTAGCTGGATCACTCCCTGTGTGTGGGAGGCATCAGTTCTCAGACAAAGATTTCAATTTCATGCATGGTCCCTACTTTCCAGGAAAGCATGAAAACCATGAGGTTATGGATGCTAGGGAATGAAATCATCAGTTCAGCATGTTGTGGCATGAAGAACAGGCTTATGGGCACAAGATTCAGGAGGCAGAAAAGTTAGGGAGCAAGAAAGGATCTTAATTTTTTATCCTAGTGGCCAGTCAGTGAGTGGCATGATCACTTCAGTCACATCTCAAAGAACCTCCTATATGTTTTTTAAAATAAAAGTTTCCATGTAAACTTTGGCACAGCTCAGATCTCCCTTCTCCCTGATAAATGCCAAATGTGAAGCTGCTTGTGAATTCCTTTCTGTAAGGTAGTAAATCTTCAACAAGAAAGGCAAAGCCCATTCCATACTAGCCAGTTGCCTACAAGTTCAACTCAGAAAGTTCAACTTCTTGCGTTAAATTTTCTACCTGTGAAGAGAGCATGGGGGTTTTTCTAATGCTAAATGTTAAAGATCATGAAAAGTTCACATCCAGTGGTGTTACAGACTGCAGAGAAATTCCTGAATCCCTTCATCTCACTGAAAAGAATCACTTTCATTGTAGGATTAATAGTTTAATCAGAATGTCAGTGAATATTCGTATCCTTCTTTAAATAGAACTGGCTAAAGAAGTACAGTCTTATCTGAAATATGACTACAACTGGAAAAAAAAAGAAAAGAAACTGAATTAAAAACTTGGGGAAAACAAAGAAATTTGTGTGCAAGTTCAAGCTGATCAAGGGAGCTTTTTGTGCCCAAATGCTTTGCATAAATGTGTGTTCTGGTCTTTACCATGGTAACGGCATCATGTGGAACTTAAGTTACCTCTAAGGTACTGAAATTTCTTGAAGTAGCACAAATAGACTGCATCTTCTTACTGCAGAAAAGCATAATCTTCTATTCAAAAGGCTGGTGCTTATTCCCAAAGATAAGTGTTCTAAGAACACAGGATGTGAAAAACTGAATCCAAGCAAACAAGAAAATTTTCACCTTATAACTGTGGTCATTAAAGAGCTTTAGGTGCAATGCTGTCTTTCAATGCATATGTCCTGACAGTTTTTTCTGTACCATTTGGACTGTCAGTGGAAAACCCTCTTATAAATAAGGGTCACCACTTTAACGTTTACAGTCATAATCCTTTGTTCTGTGTGGAAAACTCGACCTTTTTCACACAATTTTATAATTGTAATTATATAATTATAATTTAAAATACAAAAGTTCTACTAATAGCAGAAATAGTTTTAAGTTGCCACTTGGGTGTGGCAATTTGTATATATTTGTATATATTTACTTTCCTCTTAAATTTATATATATTTATTTGCCTCAAACTTTACAGAGGCACAAATCCAGTCACAAGATACACATAGGTAAATTTTTACCCTGGGCCTTTCATGCAGGTTTCCATTTGCTAACAGAGTTAAGTAAGAGTTTATTGAACAAAGCCACATTTGTTCTGTTCCCCTTTCTATTGAGCCTTGTCCTTCCCTTCCATTACATGTCTTTATAGCATAGAGTTCAGATGTCTTCCTAGTTTAAAAGAGGTAGAAAAAGGTGGTCCCACTGAATGGGACAAAAGAGCTTGCAGTCACAGTCCCTAAGCACAACAGTGAGGAAAATACATCTCTGTAACATTACTGATGTCAGTATGGGGACATGGGGTAGAGAGCAAAGCCTACTACTTTGAAACACTGAGTTTTCAATATTAGGTGTGACAAGCATTTCTTTACTAATTATTGTTAGTGGACGAATAAGAGCAAAAATTCTAGTCCAAAAGCATATTTTGTGATGGTAATTGAGAAACCAAATTATCACCACTGTCATGTGAAAGGACGGGAGAGGTTTACCCAACCCTTAGTGTGGGAGAGATTTTCTTGACCCTTAGTAATTTACTTGTCTGTCAGTGCCTCAGGGGTTTGTCAGCATCTGTAATTGGGACTGTTCATTGAACAGATCCGTAAGATTGGAAGGTGATTCGACTGCCCTTCTCAGGGGGACTGAGCCAACAGCATGGAGACCCCTCAATGGATCTTCCTATTCTGCTGCCAGAAACTACTAGCACCTATGAAGGACTCACTCTAATGGTTTATAGAATAACACACTTTATTAATACAAATTGTGACAGGTTAATAAGGTTCATGGGTCATTGGTGATTGTGTCTGACTGCAAAAATGTGTTTAAAGCAATCTATTAATACTATAAAGCAAGCACAAGCTCTAATCCTAATAACAGCATTTAGCATGCATAGAATATGTTTCTTACTCAATAGGCATCCCTATGGGGGGGAAGACAGGTTCAGCCCTTTGACTAATCCCAGCAGCTTTGGTGGAGTCTTCCTCAATTTCCCCCCTATTCGTAACTTACTTTTATACTATCTCGTTAGGTTTAGGTGAAGCTCGAGTGACTTTAGTCATAAGTACTTTTATTTCTGATTGATGTAAAATTCTCTTACTTTGGTTCACATACTTAATGTGTTGTATCTTGGCATCTGTCTCCCTTGGTTGACAGGTACTTACAGTCTTTGAACTACAAGGTACTACCATGTTCCCTTCCCTGCAAGGAATTCCATGGAGGGAGGCCACGGTGTCTCCACTCTCCTCCACCCTCCATTCCATTTGCCGTAGCAGGTGCTTATTGTTGTACAGGGAGCCTTTGTGGGTCACACTGACCATGTTCCATCCAGGGAGCAGCAGCTGCGTTTTACCCTGTAATTCTTAGTCACCTCTAATTTTTAACCCTATCCATCCTCCCACCCTTTCCTTTAGAATTCAGTGTAACAGCTCAGTGCATCCTTCCAAATGACACACTGTGGTTGTGTCATCTTGCATCTGTCAGTCATAAGGAGGTCCTGCATCATCAGGATATATCCTCTTTTCCTTCAAGCAAGAAATGCAAATGATTAGGGTTTTTTTGAGACAGAAGGATGCATATTATTAAAGAGTTGATAACATCATCAGAGGATGATAACATTTCTGTCTCCTGTCTATGTTTGTTCAATTTGTCCATATATCAGAAGGAAGTCAGCTACTGAAATGTGAGCACACTGTCAAGAACAATAATGAGACTAAGGTGTGGCATTGCAATGATGTGTTAGGTCAGTTGAGTTGCCTCCTTGAAAGTTCAGTAAAATGATTTTATTGTACTATTTTCAGGTCTCTCATTCATTTGAGTGGCTTATTATTGCTGTCTATATAGCCATATATGTTGTTCAACATTTGACATGTAGGTGCCTTTTCACATGGAATTCATTCTGCTGTTCGTATTCTTACATCATACTTGTGTGGAATACAGAATATATAGCAGGCATGCTATGCCGAAATGAGAAAGAGGTTAGGAATCAAATCTCTAGAATTTTTCTGGTTTTACCTCATGATTTATACCTCCTTTTTCTTCCCCCTTTTTCCTTCTCCTCTCTCCCTCCTGCCTTACTCCTTCACTCCCCTCCTCGCTCATGGCCTGATTCACTGTGTCCCTACAGAAATGCTGCAAGCTGCATATGAACTAAGTCCAGACAGCACTAGTCCCTGAGCTGGCAGTGTCTGCCAGCTGATGATATAAAGTTGTCTCATTCTCTTATTTCTGCTTCTTTTACCTCAAGCGACAATAGCAATGAAGGTTTTATACTCCCTTGTCTAATGTGACAGACAAGTCCCAGAGAAAATTACAAAGGGTTTCCAGTTGAAGATATTTGCTGCTATCTTCAAGTTTTGAAATATATTACTAAATATAAACAAAATGCATCAAATTTTTTTCTTTACTCATCAATTATTTTGTTTTAAGTGGAGCAAAAAATGAACACTGGTTCAAATAAGTCATTAGATTTGTGTTAGCTTTATTCAGCAATTCTCTGTATTCCTTAAACATTTATGTTCTTTCCAATTATAGCAATATTTTACTTGTCACTGCAAAATGTCAGGTTATTGCTTCAAAGGTAACCTCATTTTATATAATCAGATGGAGACTTAGCTGATGTAATAAAGCAGTGGAGATTGGATAAAAGTCCAATTACTGCTTCCATAGTAATGAATAACAATTATTAACATAACAAAGATGTTAGTATTTTAAAGGTGTTTGTACTTTATTTTACTTTCAATGATAAGCACACCAGTTTCTTGGTAATAGTAACACTATTAGAAATTGTATGTCTTTTTAAGGGAGGATGCCAAGACCTGTCATTTAATTTTAAAAATTATATGACTAAGTTTAAAAGTTTCTTAAAATATGTCTGAAAATAATCTAGTTTTAGGCAAGTAGCACTGATTCCATTGACAGAAGTCAGTCTTGGCTGTATGTAGCAGAGAGGGAACTACAGCAGGACATTCTTGAAAAATTAAAGGAAATAGTAGCAAGAAAATAACAAGAAAAATACAGGTCTCTCATTAATTTTTAAATCTCACTGTTGTGGTAAGCTAACAAAGCTTGCAACACAAACAGGTGTAAAATGTTGTCATTAATCAGGTTCTTAGAAAACTAATGTCTTTACAGTCTTGGTTTCCTAACATGCCATCTGGCATTACAGATATTACCTATAATAGATTAAATAAATATTTGTAAGTGCAACTGCTAGATGCACTTACAAATTCATTTTAAGAAATCTATTTGTTTGTACACTTATGCAGTAAGATTCTTCTAAAACTCTTGTTTTACTGATCCACTTACTGAGTTGTTTAACTGTCCATTGTTTTTTCTAGGTTGGCATAGTACTGCATTATTCTACACTCTCTACTATGCTATGGATTGGAGTAACTGCCAGGAATATTTATAAGCAAGTCACAAAAAAACCTCAGCCATGCCAAAACAGTGACCAGCCTTCTTATCCAAAGCAACCACTACTCAGGTATGGAATATTAGTTATACTTTATTTTTTAATGTCTTCCTAAAACATATCAATTATAAACACTTTCTTTTATTTCTGTATTCTTTGCCTTTTAAAGACTATAAATAGGATCCATAAAGAATTGAGCCACTTAGGTGTGTGTAAATACCTGAATATTTATTGTATGCTTATGGTTTACTCAGGAGATAGAAATATGCAGAACTGGTATTGGCTGGGTTCAGATAACCTTTATCTGAATGGTAAGAATTAAAATGTTTCTGTTGGTTTCTTATGGAGGGAAAAAAACCCACACACAATCAAAAACTGGCTTCCTTCCAAGCATTATTTAATCGTCAGAAACTATGCTGTAATAACTCTTCCTTTACCCTTATCTCTTCTGCTTTAATTCTTGCCCACACTTGTATTGGTAGCCTAATAACAGGATAGCAGCTTTCCTCATTCCACATCAGAGATCTAAGGCTGTTACAGGAGCAACTGGAAATCTGCCCTCCCTATCAGCTTTTTAGATGAAGTAGGCTAACAAACATGTCTCTGACAGCATCACAGGTGTAATACAGTAAGAATTCTTACCAGAAGCCTGTGAGATGCACAAACTCCAAGCCAGAATAGTCAGTATGCACAGAAAGGGGAAAAAAACCCCTAGCAAAACCTTACCATAAACTAGGTTTTCCAGCTAAAGGCATGAGAAGATTAATTAATCTCTTTTGAGCTTAGCTGTCAAGAAATTAAGTATTACCCAAAGTTATGTATTGTGCCTGTATAGATTTTGGAAGGAGACTAAGACAGAGAAGAATTTCCAGAGAACAATTCCTCCCGTCTGTCTTGGATGTTTAATGAGGACAGGATGAATTATCTTATGGAGGTGCCTCTCTTTCCCCAAAGATCATGGGAAAACCTGAATGGTCAGTTTAACCTGAAGACCTCCATTTTATAGTGAAGGACAGGAAATAAGAATTCTACTTTTTATGGCTCTTCTGTGAAAAATGCATATGCATGTATTCTTTTCGATAGACTAAAATAAGACTAAATAGACTAAAATAAGTTATTATTTTAGTTTAAACACAAAATTTTTAACAAGTAACAGTTATAGATGACTGTTTTATGTCACAACTTGTTAAAAGTCTGTAGGAAGATGAATTGTGTTTTTCTGTCTGATTCTGCTGAGTGAAATTTTTACTAACATCATTAGATTTCCTTTTGATAAAACATTTTATTTTTAGTGATGAAATTGATTATAGTTGACATAAAATTTGTATTGTGAAGAGAAGAATTGCCATATTGATCCTGAACTTTGTTAGGTGTAAGCAAGAGGATATACTTTCACTAGGAGTACCTGACTTTGCAATACATGATTTACTATGCTATTCTTCATAAATGAGAATTTCAGTCCTTCAGTTACCAGCTCATGGCAAAATGAATAATTGCCAATTTTCAAATGCTGCACTGTGACTATTAAAGTAGAAAATTGTTACAAGTTACATAGACCCAGCATAGTGTATGTTCTTCAAATTCAAATCTTGTTTGAGTTGGAAAACAATAGACAATCAGGTTACAGAAAAGATTACTCTAATTAGAATCTTTGTTGTACCGGTCATGTTGAGGTTCTCAGACAGTGAAAATAAATAGTAGCTATTTTAAGTTTAGCAATAGAAATGATAAACCTCCTTTTAGCTGTAAGAGAACATGAGTATAATTGTTTAATAGCTAAGTAAAATTATTCTAAGTTATTTTTCTCATGCAGGGCACCATATATCCTAGAGACACAGGCACTGAAATGTCTAATATGATTTCATAATGTTTAGTACTAGATTCAAAATAGTAAGGATCACTTCGTGTAGGAAACAGGCATAGTATATGTAAAATTAAAAATCCCATTAAGCAAGAAAATGCTAAACGCATAATTAGGAATTGTTGTTCTTTTAGTATGATAATGATAATTTTGGGGGGCATTTTAACTTTCCTGGTTTTAATAAAATTAATATCAAAGTTATTCTGTATCATAATATTTCCATAAAATCCATTTAAGATGCTTATATTTCAGTGCAGTCATTTATAAGGAATGTTTTAACTAGTCAGTGTTCTTGTGTCTATAAGCCAATGCTGGCCTTTATGCATATTATTTCTCAGGTACATCTGGGTTTGGGTAAGGGAGTGTTAATTTGTCTAAATGGTATAAAGTTGATTCAAACGGAGATTGAGTTAAGCTTTTTTATATGTCAGGACCGCCAGTGATGGGAAAAATATAAAACAGTCCACAAGACACTTTTAAACAAGAGGTAGTTTGTCGGTTATCCCTGTCTATAGACCTAGTTTGCCTTGTGTTCAGGTTTTGTTGAATACAAATATATGAATGTGTTTGGCAAAAACATTACACTTTGGTGTTGTCCTTCAGTCTTTTCTGGTAATGGGGGTGTGTGATAGACTGTTTCCAGTTCATGTAGAAGTGGTTTTGTATTCCATATATATGCACTTGCTATATGAATGAGACATAGGGATGTCTTTTGTGAGTCAGTAAGTGGAGTCTACTGCCAAAAATCAATACGTAAATCTGACATAAAAATTGTCCCACCACGTTTTTTTCAAGGAGCTTGATCCACTCTAAAAAGTAGCTGAAATAGTGAAAATAGATACCAAAATACCTAAAAGGAGACCTTACTTACTAGTAGAAAAGGACGTGTGCTTGTAACAGTTACTTCAGTTTCTCTGCCTGCTGTTTGCATATTCAGTTGCAGAAGCAAGACAAATGAGCTGCACTTGATCTTTTTCTTCTAGTTTTCCCTGGGCTGTAGCAATAAGTGTCCTATTATGTAAAATTGTGGTTCTTTATTGGTTTTCTCTGTTATAGATAGAGTGATGAAACTTGAAACATTTTTGCCATCTAATTTTACTGAAACTTGTTCTACGTGGCAATATGATTTTAAATATTGCCTCTTCTTATACATTAATCAAGTATTATATGATACATTATATATGCTATGCATTATACACGATATATATTTTATTACATATATTATTCATGAAATATATATTATCTATTAATTACAGAGTTAAATCTCTCGGGGCCTATTGCTTTGATGACTGGAACCAACTGTAAGAATTTTGGCATTTTTCTCTAAATGTGCCTGGATGCTAATGAGGTGGATCAAATTAATGCATCATTGACTTTTGTGTATTGAAATGCTGAATCTTAGCACTTCAGCAGATAATGAAATTACTTCCTGTAAAATATACTCTCTGGTATTCTTAATAGAAATAAATAATTCTATCTGTTCATCCTCTGTGGACATTTGTTAAACCTGGCAGAGTTTAGCTTCTGACTCATCTGAAGTCAGCTTTTGCCAGCAAAGGCAAAGGAGCATGCAAGATTCAGCAGTTACTTCAATGTACAATACTTCTCATCAGCCCAAGCTGAGGCGCAGGTAGTATTAGGTTTTTGTACCTGGTATGTGCATGCATTTTTCATGTGATGCTCTGCACACATGCAAATTAGACAGAAGTACAGACTAAGCAGAAAAATATTTCTGAAAGATATTCTGTTAAAACTATTCCTTTCTAGAAAGACAGAAAAAAATTAGATTACTTTCATTTTTAATAACTACTGAGCACAATTGCATTATAAATATTTGAAATAAAAAATAAATAAGCTGCCAGCTGGGCCAGAGATTGATGCTAAGGAGGCAGATAATTAAGTTTTATCTCAGGGTTAGGTACAAATATATCTCCTAATTTTCTCCCACCTCTTTTATTCAATGAATGTCTTACAAGATAACTAATATGGCACACTTCAGATTACAGAGTCCAATATCCTATATCTGTCATGCAAAAACATCAATGTGCATAAATAGGGTTGCAGAATCAACTGCAAAATGGATAACAGGTGATTTCACTGTCTCTGCTGAAATTCATCTTATTTATCATGTAATGTATCTAGATAAGCTTTTTAAAATGTTCTTAGTAAAATTGTGGGACTTCTAGGAAAAGTACCCCTGGAGTGCTTTAGAAAAATTGTGTATCTAGCTTTAGTAGCAATTTAGAAATGGATTGTGTGGCCTTGTATTCAAAGTATTAGCCTTAGTACTATGACTAATAACTATGAACATAGAGAATTTTGTGAAGATCACAACTGAGGCAAGTTAAAGCGTTTTCAGCAGCACACACAGAGTGCCTACACTCAATACCACTGGCTTCAATTCCATTCTCTAACTGTTTTCAACCTTAAATAGAATAATTTTTAGAATTATAAAGCTGTTTGCATATTTCATGTATTTTGAAATGTCTCAAGTGTTTTATAGAAACTGTCCTTTGACCTGTACACAGAGCAGACCTAGAAATAGTAGGTGAGAACTGGAGCAGTTCAGTCAAACTGTAATATCTGCTAATGGATGTGTACATGCAGATATGTGTGTGTGTGTGTGTCTGCTATTCTCTATGAGCAGGTTTCTGTACATCATATATACACTGCCAGAATACTGAGTGATGTCTTGGAAGCAGCAACAACAGGGGTCTTCCTAGTGAGCTATGTTTGTGGGGTAGTGGTGACTAACAACATACGCCCTGATCACATGGATGTGCAAGATGCAGCAGTGCTCCACTTGCATCCTCCCCCTCTCCTGTCAATGTGGCAGCAGCTCTTCACATTCATTACCAAGCTCATTATTTCTCTCAGCTACCTAAACATTAATCAGTATCCAACTAAACAGTAGCTAAGTATCTTTGTGGCATTAAATTATGCTAAATATTTTCACTGCAAAAAGAAGAAACCACACTAAACTTTCAAATCCAAGAAAACCCTCTTCTTCTGTTATTGCCAACCAGTCATGTTCTGAGGCTCTTGCTCTAAAGTGAGGAGATTTTACAGACTTACATGATGCCACAGAGGTCAAGGCATCTGCTTAGTGCTTTGCTCACAGTGTTAACCCTGCTTGTCTCAGGATGAACATCTAGATGCTTGATCTGAATTCTGACAAGCTGGAAACCAGCACATGGGCACAAATGGACCT